CCGTCGCCGTCGCTGTCGCCGCCTCGAACAGGCGCAGTCGAGGCCGAAGTCGAGGTCGAGGTGGAGATCGAGACCGGGAGTGACGTTTGGCCCGCCAGGCCGGACGACGAAGAGGACAACGGCGACGGCGACGGCGACGGCGACGGCGACGGCGAGGGTGATGGTGACGGCGAGGACGAGGGCGACGCGGATCTGTGCGTCACCGCGCCGCCATTGGTCGACGGCAGTCGACCCGCCTGCCTCGTGCCGATGTACTCCTCGCCGTTGGTGATGCGTCAGGCGGCGATGCGCAGACGCATCCTCTTCCGACTCAATCGAGATGTACATCCTTTCATTCAGTACCCGGTCGACTTTCAGATTAGCGTAAGCACCAACGCCACGGCAACGGGGCGTCTGTCAGGATTCGTCTTGAAGAGTGCATTGGAGGAAATGTTTTGTCTATTTTTGCTTAAAAAAGGTTGTCTTTCGAGTCTGCCAGCAGATTGGACAGACGAAGCGAGGTGAGCAGAACCACCTTTTTTGACCGTCACCAACATCACAAGTGCCAGTCATCCACCTCTCGTTCAGGGCACTTTTCCATGAACAACTGTAGCCACACAAGTTCGTTGGAATAAGCAGCGACTGGCCCAGTACAAATGGCGGTAGGCCTCGTGTTTCCGTTCAACTTCACATCGCCAAATCTCCCAAAGGGTGTGTCTATCGTCGGCACGGACTGCAGCTTCGACCTCGCCTCGATTCGTCTCATCAACGCCCACAACGGGCCTCGAACCAGAGGCGTGACGGTGCAGTAGGACTGACAAAAAAATGGGTTGAGTCGCGCTGGACGAGTGGACGAGACCGGTTGAGACGAGGTGGAAAGTGCAGTCCGATCCAGTTTTTGGCAAGCAATGCGATGCACCAAGCCTGGCCATTTGGATGAGGGAAAATTGACCTCAAACAAAATAGGGTGAATTTGACGGTAGTTTAGGAAGCCTACTCAAATTGATCATAAGTAATGTAGTCGAGTGTAATAACAAACACTGGTTTGCTTCACTTACCAGTCCACTACAAAGGATGGGACATGGAAAAGGACTAGGCCTCCTTGAAATTCGCATCGGCTCTTTGGCAGTGTCGACTGGTCGAGATTGTTGGTGGCAGGTTTATAAATTGGGAAAAATCAAGC